TTGGGTCTCCGTATGAATATAATATAATTCAATTCTCTATATCCGGGAACAGAATATTCTTTATTCATATATCCAGTGCTTATATTATAAATTTATTGCAACATATTTTTCTTTTTTATTACTTTTGGTGAATTCGCCGTTAATTTGAACATAAAAACCATAGAATTATTTAAACAAGTCATAATTGATTTACATTAGCTTAACCTTGGTAATAAAATTATACCTCGATATTGTTTAATCAACACACAATTCATACATTGATTAATATATTTCAAGAACATGCTAGATTTATTGCATGTTCAGTTATTTCAAACTTATACTTTACTTACTGTACAATATAAATATCGTAAATTTTATACAGTATACAGTATGAATAACGTAAAATTTAAACTCTATGTTAAATAAAACAAATATGGTTATAATTAACCAATCAATAGTAATTAATTAGTAACTGTACACATATACGATAGTCTATATGTATTGCTCTTTACATGATTACCAATATTGTTTAAGCGCACAATGTAACGTTGTTTTTGCAACAATAGGATCACTACAACCATATCTAACAGAGTTGTGGAAATCAATGCCCGTATCGGCTCAACATCAGGCCAACGACGAGCTGATCGGCAATCTATTGCTCACCTCTAATAAGGCCAACGGTCTGTCGGCCACCGCCGCCGCTCTCAACACACTTTCCGGTTATACCAATGGAGACAATAACGGACACCAGAACGACGGCCCGGACCTACAGTCTGTATTGTATCGGCACAACATGTGTAAATGGCCTGGATGCGAACAAATGTGCGATGATTATGGCCAATTTATCAAGCATTTAAACATGGAGCACGGCCTTGATGACCGGAGTACTGCACACGTCAGGTATAATCATTGATCTAGTTTAATTAGTAATCAAGTTACACAAACTAACCAAATTGTTTGCTGTTTAGGGTTCAGCTGGAAGTCGTTCAACAGTTGGAGCAGCAGTTGGATCGGGAGAAGGAGCGGTTGTCGGCAATGATGCAACACTTGCACGACAAACACCGGGCGGCCCAACAATCAGCGGCCGCGCCTCCCGTTACCACCGCCTCCTCACGTCTCGGCCAACAATTGCCCCTTCAGTTCAAGCATCTGATGCACGACAGCGGAGGACAATTGGTCGGTGGCATCGGTTCCGGGATCAAAGGCTCGGACACCGACGCCCTCGAGCGCCAGTACTTGGCCGGAATGGGTCCAAATGGACTGTCGGCCCACTCGCCGCCCGCCCACTATCTCGACGAGAAGTTGGCCGCCATTCGCAAGGCGTCGATGATTACGCCGCCGCCCACTGGCCCGCCGTCACCGCCGTTGATGTCTAGCGGCCCCCGAAGGCGACTGAGCGACAAGTCTGGCGCCGCGTCCGGTGGACCTACGCTGCCGTCGCCTCTTATACTGACCGCCGGCAACAATAATGGCAGTAATGGCAGCAATAATAGCCGCGATTACGACAAAGAAATGGGTTTGAGTGGTAATGGCGGCCAATCAGGTGGGGGTTCGCTGCCTGACTCGCCCGCCCGGCGCCGCATCGCTGAGCGAAGTAATCTGGATATCACTGAAGAGATCACTCGGAATAGAGAGTTCTACAAGAATGCTGAGGTCAGGCCTCCATTCACTTACGCCTCACTTATAAGACAGGTATGGCTTTCAATGAAATGCAAACACAAGTCAATTCATATAACAGTTTAATCACAATTTTATTGTTCATAATTTAGGCAATCATTGAATCCAATGACAAACAATTAACGCTTAATGAGATCTACAATTGGTTTCAAAACACTTTCTGCTACTTTAGGCGCAACGCCGCCACTTGGAAGGTATGTCCGCTCACACAGTGCAGCCCCTGACCCCCTGTCCACAAAATGTAACCCCATATGACTCGTCCCACAGAATGCTGTCCGCCATAACCTATCGCTGCACAAGTGTTTCATGCGAGTGGAGAACGTGAAGGGAGCTGTTTGGACGGTCGACGAGATCGAGTTTTACAAACGCCGTCCGCAACGACTCCAGGAGCGCATCGGATCGGGCGGTTCGTCAGGCGGTGGCGCCGCCGGTGGCGACGATGACTTCAACAACTACTGGGGCTCCGACTGCGACACCGATATGCCGGCCTCAGCGCCCGCACCGCCGCCCAGCAAGAAGCACATGGCTAGGGGTCGGCCCAAACGGTCGGCGCTCACCATTAACCGGTCCGTGTCGTTGACGAGTGGCGGCACAGTTACGGATCACCACAACCGGTCGGCAGCCATATTGGGTTCGGTGGGCAGTGCTGTCAATTCGCCGCCAAACTCGGCGCCCATCGCTTACGGCGACCACTCGCTGAACGTCTCGCTACAGGCGCTGACCGATCACACGGCTCTACCGCCGTTCCTGCGCGGCCTTACCGGCCGTCTGTCGGGCAGTCCGTCACCGCACGGCTCCGGAGGGGTTGAGTCGCCCCAATCGCGGCGCTGTTCGGACGACGTGTGCGACGACGAAGAGTTTGACGACGACGACGAAGAGGGCGCCGACACCTACGACGACGACGCCATGGATGAGGGCCTCGATCTGACACTCCGGCCGACGCCCGCCCAACACCAGCCGCAGGGCGTCCCCACTCGTCACCCGAGTAATAGTAACGCCAATACTTTTAATAATATATTGAATGAAAACTCGTATAAAAGCGTTAAATTGGAGGAAAGAGTGGCCGACAAAGAGTTTGACGACAATTCTGGCGATAATAATGATAACAACGACAGGAATGCCGTCAACGTTACCAACGCTTCCGTCGCCGACGACAACTCTTTGGCCATTGATATGAAGACTTCAATTAATAGTAATCCCAGCGATAACTGTATTAATGATAATAAGACTAATAGTAATAATAATAACAAGGAATCCGTTGCCATTGATTCTGACGGCGCCGACCATTAAATCGTGTGATTTAGGGATTGATTATATATTTATAATTAATTAATCTATGTCTTTGTCGTACGTGTGCTAAACCTCCGGCACTCCCACCCCCTCCGTGTGTATGTGTGCGTCCGTTACCACGTGCTAGAAATAAATAAAACAAAAATTACCCATATTCAATATAACACCATTTTTACTACAAACTAGACATTCATTTATAAAATTATCGAGTTTTACAACAAATTCATTCAATTTGTTTCGTGTGCTTCAAAACATAGTGTAAAAGTAATACACAAATACATAAAACACAAATCTAATAAAAACATTTGTGCATGGTCAAAACAAACCTGCAAACAACTGTCCCGGTTTATTCTACTCTCACCAAATTCTATTTTCTATACATTACTTATAATTACAGACATTTTGTCATAAGAGTTAAATTTGCCCTATTATGTTACTTTGGAAATTCATTTAATTATTCATATAAATAAAATATCACACATAAATTCTATTATTCTACTAGTCACCAACACACTATTTGTTCAAAAAATTAAACATTTATCATTTTTGTGCTCAATTTAAATTAATTTAATTTACGTTACAATGCGTTATACCCGGGAAATCACTGACCAAACTATTAAAACCCAATTCAAATACTTGTCCCCAATACCCTGATGCCCACTATACTGTATATTTATGTAACTTACATGATACATATATGCAAATGGAAATTATAAGATAATGTTGATTTTAATGCTTTTCATTACTTATGACAAAACAAACGAAACATATCATTGATTATAAACACATAATAGAATTTCATTCAAGAATTTAGTTGAAAACAATGAACACAAACATAAATAGGGTTTTATTGCCTTCTGTTTTCTATTGGCATACAATGTAGAGAATAAGTGGTCGATTAGAGAGAATATATAGTGATATTTATAAATTATATTTCAAATATATATTCTGTTAGTGCCGTCCGATTAATGAACACAA